CAGCCAATTAAAAATGCTATGCCATATTTTACCATCTAATTTACTGCAGCAGCCAATCTTTTGTTTCAGTGTAGATACGGATCTAAAAATAATAATTTATTGGACCATGAAAATGATTACTTAGGAATCTCACGCGGAAAAAAAATGTAGCTGTCGTAACTAAAAATTACATGTGGTAATTAGGTGGTACTAAATGGCAGGTGTAAAATATGGACAGCTAAAATATAAGTATTATATAGCTAATGTCTTAGGTGTGATATCTATATTATAGCAGCAACAGCAAATAATTTCACTGTAATAAATTTATAGTTACGGCAGCAAATATATTATAACAAACTAAGATTAGCTGCGGCAGAGAAAATCTTTTTTTCTGTGCAAGCATGATGAGAAATGCTATAAAAAGTTTTTGCTAACTAAAGCACTCTATATAATTATTCATGATCCAAGAAAATTATTTTTAGATCTGTATTTAATTAAATTTTTAGATACTTTAACAAAATTATTCTTTCTGTGTAAGAATCATCTTTCAATGATGTGTTGCTTCGATTTATTCTGTATATTTTTGTTAATTCGTGCGTAAAAATGAATGAATTTTATATTCATAGATACGAAAAAGATTTCGCATACGAAATATTCAAATAAAGAATGCTCGCGAACGTGCATGTATGTACTTATTGTATTTATTTCTGCACTTTAACAAGTAAGAAGCTCTTAACGTAGTTAAGTCGCCCCGCTGAGATTTCGATCCTCATAATTTTGTTGATAAAGTTGGATATACCGTAAGGATGTACAAGTCCTACATGCATACTCGTAGCACATATACATATAGTTCCAAAGCGCGACGGTAATGCGAACGACTACGAGCGAAACGAAATCACGAATCGATCGGGTGAATCGCAAGGTGCATTGAGGACAATATTCCTATTGTCTGAGATATATATATATGTATATATATACATATATGTAAAATTAGTGGTGGATTTAATTAGGAGTTTGAGGAAGGCATCGTTGCTTATCGTGTGAATTTGGTTCAGTTGTATATATAGCTTGATACATTTCCGACATATATACGCTTATGATGCAAGAAGCACGTCGAGATGGAAAATTTAATGGAAAGATTTAAATTTCTCGCGTATACAATTTTTCTTCACACTGACTCATATTTAAAGCTACTTTATTTTTTTTGTATCTTTTATTATTCCATGTGATGAACAATGTGAGGCGCGTATATCAAAAGCCGTGTACATCAAAACTCTGTTTTAATTTCTCGAATTTTTTAAACATAGTTTTCTCATAAAGAATAATATGACATTCATGAAGATTAGAATGTTCATGAATTGAGATTTTTCATGAATTTTCGAAATTTCGTATTATTTCATTTAATGAAAAAATCAAATAAGCTATGTACTTATAAATGTATTCTGTGTTTTTAATAATTAAAATGATATAAACATTAATTTAATAAATACAGGATTTCAAGAATTATTTATATGACGTTGGGTATAAGATACTTTGTATTTTTGCTTTCAAACTTCGTTCAATCTGCACATGAAGAAATTTTTATTTGTTGTGTACTTCATTATTCGACACGGTATAAAATGCGCGATTAATTGGACATCAGGAATAAAAGCTAACAGCGTCAAGTGACAATTTCGAGAATGATTAGTCATATGCTCGTTATCAGAATTACAAAGCCGCGGAGCTTCATCGTTCTGGAAACAAGTTTAAAGCCCCGCTTTGTTACTAATGAGTCAGAGAATACGCGCAATAATATCCTCCACATGTATCCATGTTTGTTAATTAACCGCACGGCGAGACGACGAAAAGACAGTCGTGTATTCGGAAAGGCGTGTGGCTTTTATTGTGCGAATAAGTTTGGCATTACATTCATAACGTTACACAGATTAATGTTTATACCGTCTATC